CCGCTCCCTGTCTGTTACTGGTGACTGTGTTATTCTTCCTGGTTCATTGTTTCTTCTGTCCTCACCACATCCTTTCTAACGGTTCCCTCTAACTGACCATGTACCTCACATTTAACAACGTATACATCCCTCTTTGTCTTTTGTGAATCGTAATGTCTTTTCAGGCAGCTTCTGTCTGGAATTACTTTTAATTTTTCATCCTCTGTTGCCGTTGGGTGTCATCGGGAGATGCAGTTTTTCTGTGGAAGGTCAACTTTGCAGCTTTTTCATAATTTGAAATGATGCAGATTCTCGGGATTCTCTTGTTTCCCTCTGTCCATCTATTGTGTGGCCTGCCTTCTCCTTTTTGTTTTTGTAAAGTGTTTTACAGTGCTCGCAACTGCATAAGGTCGGGACACACCTAATAGTTTCAGTTGGTAGGAAATTTTGAATTTTGCCCGGGTGGCGCCGAAGTCTATTCTTATCGATTTTAGACCACCAAGGGATCTTTAACGTGCGCTACTTGCACACAGGCCCTCCGAGATTTTCGCCCTTGTCCGAGAAGGCTAGTTGTAGATCTTTCCTACCAGAAGATCAGGGATGTGGCTGAAAGACAGCAGTAAGAAGAAGCGAAGGAGTAGCAGTAGAAAGGCTGCAGAAAGAATCAGGAGCCCAGAGGAGGAGACAAAGGAGGTGAGGGGGTGGGGGCAGAAAGAGGAGACGAAAGCAGACGACAGAACATTGCTAGAGAGCAGGAAATTAGGTGAGAGGAGACAAATTTAGAGAAGAAAAGTTTTCGGTCGCTACCCGGATTCGAACCCGGGACCTTTGAATGAGAGGCCAACACCTTAACCTGTAGGTCACGAGAGCCCCCCCACCTTTCCTCCTTTGTAGCATAAGTGATTGGTGTTATAGGTTCTCAATGATGGCTAACTCGCTGACATTCTTAACAGGTGGCCCAAAAAAAATTTTCCTTTATTCTTTCGGGGGAGGGGGGGGAGGGTTCTCTGAAATGCTTACATCCTCTTTTCTTTACCTGTCTCCTTTTTTATTTTTAAAATTTTTTTGGGGTTTCATCTTGCATGCAGTAATTTTGCTTTCATGGCAGGTTTAACATTGGTAACATAGTGTTCGTGTAAACAATGAAATGATGAGCTATCTTGTTGTGTTCATAGGGGTATTTAGATAAGATATACGTTGGTTTCTTGTATTTGATTTTCTCTATTTCTCTATCTTTAAACCCGTTCTCAGTTTTTATAAAATAAAAAAATAATAATATACTGCCAAAATATTTAAACTCTTTGACTTTGTTTCTAGTTCTTTGCTATCCACATGAATGTTCAGAGGAAAATGATTTCGGCTGACCTTCACGGCTACTGTTTGAGATGTGCTTATTTAAATTTCTTAAAACTGTTTTCTTTTTTAGTTCGATGGCTCAGCTTTGGGGGCTGGGTTGTTTTGGATGAATAAGAAATTGGTTGTCTGCAATTATAACTGGAGCTTCTGTAACTTTTATAACAATGATAATAAAAATAATAATAAGAA